AACGGGTGGGCACCAGAAGGGATCCTCACCTAGGGTGCAAAATAAGGTGGGGCCGGCCCTGGCTAAGATGAATGGAATGCTCCAAGGATGATCGTAAACCTCCAAGGAAGGCCAGGGTCGCAATGCAGAGGCAGGCAATGGCAAACCACCCTGAATGTCTCTTGCCTCAAAAGACCCTACTTATTAAACACCTCATCCTATTGATTGCATTCACTGTGTAATCTGCCTTGAGTCTCAGTAAGAAAGAAGAGGAGATTGGAGTCTCAGAGCAGCTTACCATCTCCTTTCCCTTCCCCTCCCCACAACAGACACCCTGTGAGGTAGGCGGGGCTGAGAGAGCCCTTGAGAGGACTGCTCTTGAGAGAACAGCTCTGAGAGAACTTGTGACTGGCCCAAGGCCACACCAGCAGCTGCATGTGGAGGAGTGGGGAATCAAACGTGGTTCTCCCAGATTAGAATCCGCGCTCCTAACCACTACACCAAACTGGCTCTCAGTTGGACAATAACATAGAAGATGGACAATGTAAATAAATCCTTAGGTTACCACAGCGGCACAGGGAACTTGGGTGTTCACCTGGTTCTCACTTCTCTCTGGAACTATTCAGGTCCAGGAATGGTGAAAGATTCCTTCATGCCTGCTTTCCCCCCATCCGGGAGAGGGTGATGCTTGTATGGCATTAACAGCCACATCTTTGTGGCTTCCAAATCGAAATGGTACCCAAGAGATATGGAAAGAACCCAAAGAGAATGGCTCTAGCCTGTAGCCACAGCCGTAGCATGCAAGTCAGCTCAAAACGCAATAATGCGATTTTTTTACATTTTCACAGCACTCCCTTCCCAAAGGGGCAGAAACTTTTGAATGAGAAAACGAATCCAGGGAGTGAAATGCGAGTAGTAAACTGTGTTCTCTCATGGTACAAATACCACTAGCAGACCCTATAAAAGCCCTCCATGGTCGTTGAACCCCAAGGATCCACAGGCTCAAAAGCAAAGGCAGACCTAGTTTTTCTGTCTTTCAAATGCAAACTGCAGGGGTCTGCGGGAGAGATTAAAACTTCATCTGCCACTTGGCTTTGCTAATCCACAGCACCGCTAATCTACAACACCAAACAGAGCCAGTTTGGTGTCGTGGTTAAGTGCCCGGACTCTAATCTGGGAGAGCTGGGTTTGATTCCCCACTCCTCCACTCGCAGCTGCTGGATGACCCTGGGCAAGCTATAGTTCTGTCAGAGCTGCTCTTGAAAGAGCAGGTTTCAAAGGAGCTCTCTCAGCCCCACCCACCTCACAGGGTGTCTGTTGCGGGGAGGGGAAGGGAAAGGAGACTGTAAGCTGCTCTGAGACTCCTTCGGGTAGTGAAGGGCGGGGTATGAATCCAAGCCCTTCTCTTCTTCTTCTCTCCCTGCTGTTAGCATTTTAAATTAATAATTACGTGCTTTCCAGTTGCAACAGACTCACGGCGACCCCGGGACCGTGGGGGTTTTCAAGGCAAGAGATGAGCCGAGGGGGTTTGCCATTGCCTTCCTCTTAGCCTTTTAAAGGAAAAGAGAAATCTTTTTTCTCCCCTTTAAATTGCTCCTAGCAGAGCAGAGGAGCTGGATTCCCCGTAAGGGAGACGTGCTGGCGTGGGCAGCCCTTGTTTCTCCACCTCTGGCGCCTGCTCTCCTGACGGGCATCCCGCCTCCAAAACAGCCCACTCCCCACCCACCACACCTCCTCCAGCTTAGAGGGAACACTGCCCACCACACCTCCTTCCACTAGGCTCACCTGGTAGTCCTGGAGCACTTCAGCAGCCCCTTCCTGGTCTGCGATGGTCAGCCAGATGTTGGGGAAGGAGGTGGCGTTGTAGCTGAGGTCCAGGCACATCTCTATCACGATAGGCTCGCAGGTGGACTCTGCAGGGGGCGGGGAGAGAAAGGCAGTCGTCGCTATAAGGACGAGAAGGCCAGCATTTCTGGCCCAGGCCAAAAGCCAGCCTAGTCCAATGTCCCGTGTTTACAACAGTGGCCGGCCAAGGCCTCTGGGAAGCCCCCAAACTAGGGCTGCCAACTTCCAGGTGGCAGCCAGAAAATGAGAGATCATGGGAGGAAGTGGAATTCCAAAAACAACATCTGTGACAGAAACAATGAAGAGTTAAGAAAGATAAGCTGAAAAAAACGTTTACTGTAGTAACTCTGTAGAATTTTTTCTTCTATTATCGCTCACACACTAACGAATGCTGCGCAATGAAGAATCTGTTTCACAATATTGGATTTATCTGAGCGTGTAGCAATCCCAATTCTTATCAATTACTACTTATCAACTCTTGAAGGAAACATTCCCTGTTGACTCTCTAGTAACATTGTGAGGACCTTGGGGTTCTGTTATTAGAGAGTCAACATGGAATGTTTCCTTCAAGAGTTTGTAAGTAGTAATTGATGAGAATTGGGATTGCTAAATCAACCCAAATTTTGAAAGGACAACAAGAAACTAAATTTGGAAATACATGGTTAAAGTTTTATAAATGGCTCGAAGAATATAGTGACACAGACTTATAAAGCTTTCTAAGGACATATTACATGTAAGTTTTATATACTCGCAAAAGACTTATACAAGGCGGACTGTATGAAAAAATACACAGGTTTAGGTATGAGTTATTCAAACAAGAAACTGGAACTAGAATAGAGTACTCTCATTTGAAGGAAACATTCCCTGTTGACTCTCTAGTAACATTGTGAGGACCTTGGGGTTCTGTTATTAGAGAGTCAACATGGAATGTTTCCTTCAAGAGTTTGTAAGTAGTAATTGATGAGAATTGGGATTGCTAAATCAACCCAAATTTTGAAAGGACAACAAGAAACTAAATTTGAAAATACATGGTTAAAGTTTTATAAATGGCTCGAAGAATATAGTGACACAGACTTATAAAGCTTTCTAAGGACATATTACATGTAAGTTTTATATACTCGCAAAAGACTTATACAAGGCGGACTGTATGAAAAAATACACGAGCTCACTCCGTCATGCGGCACACTCGGGTCTCGAACTGCTGAACTACTGACCTTCCACAGCCTGCAGTTCAGCGTCTTAACCACTTGAGCCCCCGCAGATCCCGTGTAAGTTTTATATACTTGCAAAAGATTTATACAAGGCGGACTGTATGAAAAAATACACAGGTTTAGGTATGAGTTATTCAAACAAGAAACTGGAACTAGAATAGAGTACCCTCATTGAATGTTATGTCTTGTCTTATATGTTTTGTGGTGTCTATAAAATAAAAAACGTTATGTTTTTTAAAAAAAGAATTAGGATTGCTACACACTCAGATAGAGCCAATATTGTGAAACGAATAGTTTACATTGTGCAGTATTTGTTAGTGTGTGAGCGATAATGGAAGAAAATATCCTACAGAAATACTACAGTGAATGTTTTTGCAACTTATCTTTATTGACTCTTCGTTATTTTTGTCACGGATGTTGTTTTTGGAATTCCTCAACCTCCAGGCGGGGCCTGTTGTTGTCCTGGAATTACACCTGCTCTCCAGACCGCAGAGATCAATTCCCCTGGATGATGTGGCAGCGTGGAAGGGTGGGCTCCTGACCGACCTGCCTCTGCAAACTCCCCGATCTCCAGGAATTTCCCAAGCCAGAGATGGCAACCCCACCCCAAGCAGGTTATTATCAGCCCCTGTTTCTTGTCTGCAGTTTCTGGTACTCATGGATAGACTGCCTCTGAATATGCAGGTTTAGTTTCTTTAACCAGGTTGAAGAGGAGGAGGGCTTGCTGAAGGCCCTGGGTTGGGGATGGGGTTGCCAGGCCTGGGTTGGGAACTACCTGGAGACTTTGGGGGTGGAGCCTGGAGAGGGCGGGGTTTGGGGAGGGGAGGGGCCTCAGCAGGGTACAGTGCCATAGAGTCCACCCTTCAGAGCAGCCATTTTTTCCAGGGGAGCTGATCTCTGTCAGCTGGAGATCAGTTGTAAAAGTGGGAGATCCCCCAGGCCCCACCTGGAGGCTGGGAACCCTGGATGGGGAAGGTGGTATCCTTTGCCGGCTTTCGAGATTTAACCACAGCAGCAGCATTTTAGCATTCCAAACACTGTGCGTGCATTAACGTCTTGGAACATTTTCTAATGTTCCATTTGCATTCCCCTATGTTACTGGGTTTCCCCCCCTTAAGTCCAGACAACTTCATTAACATCCTCATGCTGTCCTGGTTTTTCCTCCTTTCCCCTCTGTTCTTTTCTGAACTAGTTTTCCCCATACACACACACACACACACACACACACACACACACACACACACACACACACTCTTTTCCATTGTGGAGTGAATTTGCAAGATAGCTTCTTGCTTGAAATCTGAAGAGGGTTTCTTTGCCGCCCAACTTGCCCAGAAAGGTGGGCTTGGGAGGAGATTGTGGTTTTTTTTTTAAATGGGGAGGGGGGAGGCTTCCTGATCCATAGCAGTAATGTAGACACGTAGCCAATGCAGGAGCTGACTTGCCCAAAGAGCCACTCACCAATGGATGGGTAGGCGATGTCAGTGCAGTTGTATTCGTCGCTTCCGTCCGGGCAGTCGTGCCAGCCATCACACACCAGCTCCAGTGCCTGGCATTCGCCATTTCTGCAGGTGAACTCAGAGGGACTGCACGTTTCTGGGGTACAGGGAGAGGTGTAATAGAGAGGAAACCACAACATGCGGCTAGCTGTGCATCGGAGTGGTCAAGATGCTTAGGTATACTACTTCTGTAGATGGAAGCTCCATTAGCTGTCCTGGGGCCTCAGCAGGGATGCAACCCCCGAGTTCGGAGATCGGAGGACAGACACTGGGAGACTGGAGTTTAGGGAGGGGACCAATGCTCCCTCTAAGCTGTGGAGTCCTGTGAGCAAACATTCTACTTTGTGAGCTCCTGGCATTAAAGTGGTGAGCGAGCCATTTGGCTGCTGCATAAATCAGTTTGCTCTGGAGCCCTCCTTCCTGAGCGATAGACCAAAATCTGTGAGCTGGAGGCTAAAAAATTGTGAGCTTGCTCACACTTACTTGGCTTAGAGGGAACATTGGAGGGGAGGGTCCGCATTAAGGTACAGGGCCATACAATCCACCTCCCAAAGCAGCTATTTCCCCCAGGAGAAGTGGAATAAATGTTATAATACATAAATAAGCCATTTATGTAGTTTGGAAATCAGTTGTAATCCCAGTCAGTGTTCCCTCTAAGCTGAGTTAGTGTGAGCTAACTCACAGTTTTTTAGCCTCCAGCTCACAGATTTTTGTCCTAGCTCAGGAAGGAGGGCTCCAGAGCAAGCTAATTTGTGCAGTAGTCGAATTGCTCGCTCACAACTTTAATGCCAGTCGCTCACAAAGGAGAACTTTTGCTCACAGGACTCTGCAGCTTAGAGGGAACATTAGTCCAGACCCCGCCAGGAGGTTGGCCACCCTCGGCCTCAGGAAGAAAGGCAAACAATAGATGACATTTAAAAAGAGAAATAGAATAATAGCTATCGATTGACCTGTTCTCCGTGCATGTGTCTAAAAAGTTACGGAATCCACGGACTGAAATAAAAGAGGAGTCCGGTGGTGCTTGAAAGTACCAACCACACTTACTCCCATCTCAAGTTTCATGGATTAATGCTCAGACGCACAGAGAGGAAGTACGCAGCAGGTTAAAGTACAGGTCAGCAGAACCGGTCACAGATCCTCAGCATGACTTGATCTTCCAGCCCCAGAAAGCTGTTTCCGGGGAAACAATGCAAAGGAATGCAAACACTGTGTCCCAGGAGGTAAACCATGCGCCTGGTCCCCGCCAGGCCTGCAGATTTCAGACCTCCAGAAAGCGGCTTAACGGTTCACCAGGGCCACGCAACTTTCGCCTATTTTTTTGGTCAGGCGTTTGCACAAGAACGCAGACCTCATTGTGAGCCGCTCTCCAGCGAGGGATTTCTCTTTGTCAGAGATGGGTCTCGCTGGCGTCAAGAGCGAAGCGATAATTACAGAAGTAAACAATGAAAGAAAACCTCTGATTGTCAGAGTGTCTGCAATCTCCCAGCAGCTGGAGTTTGGGAATAAACACAGGCGTTTCTCCCGGGAAGGGGAGAGCATGGGACAACCCCCCCCCCCGAATCCTGTGGGCAAGGACAGCTCCAAATTCCAGTGCTGAAAGAAGGCAAAAGTGGGACGTGGCAAGACGTTTCCCAGATGCAAACTGGGGCCCAGCCTCGTGACATCCCAGTCCTTCAGGGCAAAGTGAGGCTGAAATGGTCCCGTGGTCTAAAATAGCACCCACCCAAAACACAACTCAGCAGTGGCAGCGTGGGAATGGCAGGTTAACATTCGTGCCTATCCCGTTCACGCCTGTGCGCTAAAGACAAGACGCATTCACACCACGCTTGGGGAAGGATTAACTCTCCAGAGGCCCCCCCGGGGGGGGGAGTGAGCTAAGCCTGGGAAATGACAGGGCTGGTGGTGGAACCTGGGAAGGGCAGGGTTTGGGGAGGGGAGGGACTTCAGTGGGGTAGAAGAAGGAGGCTGGGGTCACACACACACAAACATGCGGGGGCCGGATCAGGCCCCCAGAGGCCTTCTATCGGGCCCACAGTGGAACTGGCTGTCTTCTGCTTCTTCTTCCAGTTCTGCTGCTGTCCTAGGTTTTCAGCTTACAGATACACACCTGAACAGCATACTCAGGATTGGAACGGCACAGATATTTTGATGCAATCATTCAGAGCAAGAGGTGTCCGTTATCAGGCACTGTTAAATAAACAAAATATTGCAAGAGTGCTCATGTTTTGAGCATGTTTTTATTTTAAGTTAAAAAAAAACCTTTATGTTTGCGTCCTTTATAAAGTTTATATTCTCCGCTACCTGGCATTACATTTTATGACCCACATGGCCCGGCTCAACAAGGTCTCATTTATGTCAGATCCGGCCCTCATAACAAATGCGTTTGACACCCCTGCACTAAATAATCCACTTCCAGTGCACTTTCCAACTGGGTTTTACTCTGTGAACTGGCAAAATCCAGTTGGAAAGTGCATTGAAAGTGGATTATTTAGTGTGTGTGACCACAGCCAAAGAGATTGGATTTATACCCCGCCCTTCACTACCCGAAGGAGCCTCAGAGCGGTTTACAAACTCCTTTCCCTTCCCCTCCCCACAACAGACACCCTGTGAGGTAGGCGGGGCTAAGAGAGCTCTTTTGAGAACTGCTCCTGAGAGAACAGCTCTGAGAGAACTTGTGACCGACCCAAGGTCACACCAGCAGCTGCACGTGGAGGAGTGGGGAATCAAACCCGGTTCTCCCAGATTAGAATCTGCACTCCTAACCACTACACCAAACTGGTGTAATGCCATAGAGGTCCCCAGACTCATCTCTGAATTTTCCGCTCTCGTCTCAAGCAAAAAAGGAATTCTAGCTTTTTTTGCTTTATGGAGCAATGAATAAAAATACAGGGGCAGTAATAACCATCCCAATGGCTCCCTAGGAGATAAACTTCCAACGTGTTCTGGCCAATGAATGCACAGGCACTGGGATGATTGACAAGCACTTGGCATTTATTGTGTATCTCACTTCATTTTGTCGGTTAAAAACGTTTCGTAAAGTTCAAACACTCCCAAACATATCAGAGACCTCATGGGGGGGGGGGGGGGGCAGGGGCTTCCACTCCTTCGCTGTGACTTACAGGGCCCAGCCCTCCACATCAGACCATCCGTTCTCACTCCACCTCATTCTCTACATGATAAAAATTTCGGGTTGTGGCCGCAGTGTTCCCTCTAAGCTGAGTTAGTGTGAGCTAGCTCACAGTTTCTTAGCCTCTGGCTCACACATTTTTGTCTCAGTTCAGGAGGGATGGCTCCAGAGCAAACTAATATATGTAGTAACCTGCTCACAACTTGAATGCCAGTAGCTCACAAAGTAGAATTTTTGCTCACAAGACTCCACAGCTTAGAGGGAACATTGGTTGTGGGTAGGTCTGCCAGGTTCAGGGTGGGAAGCAGAGGTCATTTTGGGGGGGATCGCGGGGGATCGCAGTTCCCCCGGGTGAGGTACAGGGGGGGCAGGACACATGACGAAGCCCTGCCCCCTACTTCCAGCCCTCATTCAGCCAGGAGGAGGCAGGAGGAGGGTAAGTTGCTTCCTCCCTGCCTCTCCCCACCCCTGCCTGCCTGGGGCCAGGGAGGGCCTTCGCGGGGCTTCCTTGCACTCCCGCCGGCCTTGCAGGTCCACCGCCGGGCCCCTCATGGGGCTCGGCAGTGGAGCTGCAAGGCCGGCGGCGGCGGCCGGGACCGTTGGGGGCGGGGTGTGTGGCCTTATGACACACTTCCGGTGATGTCATGGGGTGTGGTCTTATGACACACTTCCGGTGATGTCAGGGGGTGGGGCATATGTTAATGAGTTATGCTAATGAGATCCTCTAGCTCTTTTTCTGCGAAATGACCCCTGGTGGGAAGTACCTAGAGATTTTGGGGGAGGGGCTTGGGGAGGGTGGGGTTTGCAAGAGGGGAGGGACCTCAGCGGGGATGTGATGCCGTAGAGTCCACCTTCCAAAGCAGGCATTTGCTCCAGGGGAACCGGCCTCTGTATCCTGGAGATCAGTTGTAACGCCAGGAGATCTCCAGTCACCACCTGGAGGTTGGCAACCCTAAGGAGGCAGCTTTGGGAGGGGCACCTCACCGCCCACCACCACCATCATCGCAGCCTTCTTGGCTACTGCCCCGCCCACCCCTCCACCCAATTCGTCGCTCATGCCTTCCTCCTTCTGCCAGCTCTGGGACAAAGTTTACTGTTATGCTTGCTGGTTCCTGTCACCGCTGCTGAGCCCTCTCCCCAATACTCTTATCCTGGTTTTAGTAAAAGATAAAGGTCTCCCTTGCTCGAAAGCCCGTCGAATCTGACTCTAGGGTTGCGGTGCTCATCTCCGTTTCCAAGCCGAAGAGCCAGCGCTGTCTGAAGACGCTTCCATGGTCATGTGGCCGGCATGACTAGACGCCGAGGCGCACGGAACGCTGTTACCTTCCCACCGAAGCGGTACCTATTTATCAACTTGCAGTTTCTTGCTTTTGAAGTGCTAGGTCGGCAGGAGCTGGGGCCAGAGACGGGAGCTCACTCTGTCACGCGACACTCGGGTCTCAAACTGCCAAACTACCGTGACCTTCAAGTCTGCAGTTCAGCGATTTAACCTCTGAGCCACCGTGGCCTTATTAGGGTTGCCAGCTTCTGGTTGGGAAATTCCTGGAGATCTGGGGGTGAATTCTGGGGAGGATAGAGCTTGGGGGTGGGGAGAGACCTCAGCAGTGCATAAAGCAGTGCCTAAAGGTGGTCACCACACCTCAAAAAGGATGTTCTAGCATTGGAAAAAGTGCAGAAAAGGGCAACTCAAATGGTAAAAGGGTTGGAACACTTTCCCTATGAGGAAAGGTTAAAGCACTTGGGGCTCTTTAGCTAGGAGAAACGACAACTGAGGGGTGACATGATCGAGGTTTATAAGATTATGCATGGGATAGAGCAGGTAGAGAAAGAAGTACTTTTCCCCCTTTCTCACAGTACTCGTGGGCACTCCATGAAATTGCTGAGCAGTCAGGTTAGAATGGATAAAAGGAAGTCCTTCTTCACCCAAAGAGTGATTAACACATGGAATTCACTGCTACAGGAAGTGGTGGCAGCTACAAGCATGGATGACTTCAAGAGGAAACTGGATAAGCATATGGAGCAGAGGTCCATCAGTGGCTATTACCCACAAGGTATAGATAGGAACTCAAAGGCTGGGGCAAGTGATGCTCTGTTGGGGGGGCAACAGTGGGAGGGCTTCTAGTGTCCTGGCCCCACTGGTGGACCTCCTGATGGCACCTGGTATTTTTGGCCACTGTGAAACAGAGTGTTGGACTGGATGGGCCACTGGCCTGATCCAACAATGGCGTCTCTTATGTTCTTATGTGAAGCCAGAGAGTCCACCCTCCACAGCAGCTATTTCTTCCAGGGGAACTGATCTCTTGTCTGGGGATCAGTTGTAAATCTGGGAGAGCTCCAGATCACACCGCCTGGAGACTGGCGACCCTAGGTTGATAATATTCATTAGCCCATGGGGTGGGGGGGTGGTTACATG